TGTTTGAGGAGAATTACTTTGGTTAGCTATAATGTTAGTGTGCTTTTTAATCTTTGATAGGGGAAGTTCTTTGGTGTCTGACTTTCTATAGCAATATGCCTCTATTTTATGTGTGATTAGGAGAAAGGAAAAAGAGAGCGAGCAGCATGTCTAATGGTCTTGAAATCTGATTATTTGAATTAAAGCATATTGTTGTTATATTGGTGTTTATGCTTTCTGGACCACCTGTTTTCTGTTTTTTTACACTTAGTGGAGCTACTTAATGTAGAAATTTATAACTGTCACCCTGTTTCTAGCATGTTTTCGAAATAGAATTTGGAGAACTTGTTAAGCTGTTTTGATAGTGAGACCAAGTCTTTTTCCCCTCTCTTGTGGCAAAAGAGTGTGTAGTAATTGGTTCTTCATCAAAGGTGGAATTACTGAACAAAAAAATTCAGAATAGATTCCTTCTGTTATAAGGTCTTTTTCTCTTAGGTCTTGAACTCCTTTTCAGATTTTCTTTTTGTGAATTTGTTCCTCATTCAGTGTACTTCGTTGTGGTTTTTACGAATTATCAAATGGATTTCTAATTCGTCCAGAAATCTAAAATGAATACGACATGTTTATTGGTGAGAAGTGCAGGAAAAAAACAAATTTGTGATACCCTGTTAACATGCCTATTTCTTAGGTTTTGAACTCTTTTTCAGAATTTATTTTTTGAAAACTCTTTTACGTTTAGTGAAGTGTACTGTGGGTTTTACGGAATATTACTTGGACTCACGGTCTGTCCAGAAATCGTGTTTGAACTTGACTTATGAGTTCTGAAACTGTCAGCAAATCTGGTTTCAAACACTGTTTTGAGGGGTTTACTTCTCATGATTTTTAAGCTTCTTTCTGTGAGCTCTTTTGGTAAATTCCATCATCTTCATATCCTTCTTTACTATAGCTCTGAGGGCTTGTTAGAAGGATTAATGGTTTATTCAATAATGACCTTTGAAAACAGTCACTCTTTCACTTTGAGTCTGAAAAACCAGATTCTTAGTTTTTGTTCAGGGGTTAGTTACTCATTTTATTTGAGTTACCTTCTGAGGTTTCTTTGCGTAATCATCTTCTATATTTGAAGGGAAAAGCAAGATTGGGCAGCGTATGTTTTCATCCTTTGAATTCTTTTCCCCTGAGAACCACATATAACTTTTGTTACTACCTTTTAAGTCACTTATAGCCTGGATAGTTTATTGATTGAATTGTGAATGTTGGCTTTAATTTTTATGTAGATTGTTCATAAGAAAACTGCATAGGTTTTGTGCTTGACGTCCGTCAAGAATGAAGATAAATTGGAGTTCAGCACTTTGCTGGTACTATATACTTTTACTGAACTTGTAGTTTAAATGTATATTTTTTTTCCCATTGCGTGTGAAGTTTTAGTATATATGTTTAGCTAATAAGTTCTGGCTTTCATTTTATGAAGTATCAATTTGTGAATTTACTGTCTTTGTAGGAAATACACTGTGGAGCAAGATGGGAAAACAATTGATGCTCCTGCAACAATCAAACTATCTTGCTCAATGTGGAAGGGTGAATGGCTGAATGTAAGAAACAAATATCATTTCTGTTTTAACCTTGCTACAGCACTCGTAAATTGTTGATGTTTACTTGCAAAAAATCAGTCACTTCACAACTGCTATTTGTTTCATGATAAAGCACTCCTTTTAGCAGAATCCTAAAGCAGCTGTTAGATTTTTGCTTATATTATGTATGTTATGGTTTCAACTTCTCTGTTTGAAGCAGCTGAAAAACCCAATAGCCTATTGCACCCACCTTTTGTGAATAATTTGTTTTAGTAACTTAAACATGAATGATACTTGATTGTTTTGCATATGATCCATATGAGAGACTAAGGCTAATTTCTTTGTTGTTTAAATCTTGAACCTACAATGTGCCTGACATAGGCCTTTGTTTTATGATGTGATGTTATTAGCGTAATTGAAAGGTATGTGAAGTAGATAAGTGATTTTGATTCGTAGGAATAGGATTTGTTTCGCATGTAACTCACACAACGTGTTTCTTGTAGCCGTCAGCTATTTTGAAGTATGTGAAGTAGATAGGATTCGTTTCGCATCTGTTTAAGAGTTTATCTTTTCCCTATGAAACTCACAGATTAGAGAAACTAGATTTCTTGTTAATTCGATTAAAAAGATGTCCTGAAATTGAATTCTTAAGAGTACCAAAACTGGTCTATTCTTAAGTCTCAAATCCCCATATTTCTATGTTTGTTTTTTGAAGCATGTCCATCCTTACTTGACGAAGGTTATGGTGCAAGCAAAATGGTGTTCATTTCAGGATCTAGATGTTGAGGATGATCAAAGTGGTAAAGGATCGAAAGGGCAAAATGTTTCGGATGGAAGTTTTATGGAGGATGATGACAACCACGCTTTAGGTACTTCATGTTCATAGGTTATATGTGTATTTTGTTAGTTTCAGATTGACTTCAAAATGTGTAGTTCTTTTGGTGTTTTGACAATGGTTTGAACTTTGAAATGGATTGAGTTGTTTACAACTTTGTTGAATGGTTATTGGTTGAATAGAATTTCAGATTCATATTATATGTTTGCTAATACAGTTCTTGGATTGGATTTGATATTATACAAAAAATTCGGGTATATAAATAATTGTTTCTTTTTAATATTTAGCAAGTCGTGGGTATTTTTTTTATGCCAACGTAGTAATTTATCCACAGAGAACACCGTGGGTAAAATTAGAACACCGTGGGTAAAATTATGTTTTAATTTTTTTTTTTTAATTTTACCCACAATTTCTATGGATAAAATGATGAATAAAACAAAAAAAAAAAAAATCTTTTTTACTCACGGATTTACCCATGGTTTTCCGTGGGTGAATCCTTATCAATTCAAGTGATACATAATTTCTCTCACGGAAATCCCCACGAACATATGCTGTGGGTAAATTACCCACCATACTTTGACTTTCGTGGGAGGATTTTTTACCCACATGTTTTTCTCCTACGGCTGTTGACTCGTGGAAGAATCCGTAGGTAAGTTAATTACCCACGGCCTCTCAGTGTAATTACCCGTGAACGAGGGTTGTGGGTAATGACTTGTGTTTTTGTAGTGGATGTTACAGTCCACCCTCTTCGGATCTTTGCGTCCTCGTAAAACCCAACAAGTAAGAATGTGACACAGTCTTCCCTGAAATAAGACTCTTTAGGTGGCTCACGTGCTTTACACTTGTCCCCTCTGCAAGTTTAGCGGTGTCTTTGCACTTGTCCTGCCAGTGGGTTCAAAGGCGTGTCAGCACGTAGCACATAGCTCTTAGATCAGGGTCCGCTCTGATACCATTTATAACATCTCGCCTCATAGACTGGCCCAACAACTTTCAGACTTTCGTCCTCGCTAACTCAAAATGATTAACCATGTTGTTAGTAGTTTATGAGGTTGCGACTTATATACAAGTCATTCACTTTGCCAGGTAGCGAAGTGGGACAGGATGTTACAGCCCATCCTCTTTGGATCTTTGAATCCTCGCAAAGCCCAAGAAGTAAGAATGTGGCCCAGTCTTTCCCGAAATAGGACTCTAGAGGTGGTTACCGTGTTTTGCACTTGTCCCGTCTGCAGGCTCAGCAGTGTCTCTACACTTGTCCCGTCAGTGGATTCAAAGGTGTGCCAGCTCGTAGCATGTAGCTCCTAAACCAGGGTCCGCTCTGATACCATTTGTAACATCCTAGCCACATAGACTGGCCCAACAACTTTCATGCTTTCGTCCTTGCTAGCTTAAAATGGTTAATCCAAGTTGTTAGTAGTTTTTGAGGTTGAAAACTTGTCATTCACTTTGCCAGGTAGCGATGTGGAATAGGATTTTACAACCCACCCCCTTTGGATCTTTGCGTCGTCGCAAAGCCCAAAAAGCAAGAATGTGGCCTAGTCTTCCCCGACTCCAGAGGTGGCTCCCGTGCTTTGCACTTGTCCAATCTGCGGGCTCAGCGGTGTCTCTGTACTTGTTCCATCAGTGGGCTCAAAGGTTTGTCCGCACGTAGCACTTAGCTCCTAAACCAGAGGCCGCTCTAACACCATTTTTAACATCCCAACCTTATAGACTGGCCGAATAACTTTCAAGCTTTCGTTCTCGCTAGTCCAAAATAGTTAACCAAAGTTAGTAGTTTATGAGGTTGAGACTTATATACAGGTCATTCACTTTGCGAGGTAGCGTTATGGGGCAGGATGTTACAGCCAACCTCCTTTGAATCTTTGTGTCTTCGCAAAGCCCAACAAGCAAGAATGTAGCCCAGTCTTCCCCCAGAATGGGACTCTCGAGGTGGTTCCCGTGCTTTGCACTTGTCCCGTCTGCGGGCTCAGCGGTGTCTCTGCACTTGTTCTGTCAATGGGCTCAGAGGTGTGTTTGCACTTAGCACTTAGTTCTTAGAACAGGGTTCGCTCGGATACCATTTGTAACATCCCAGTCTCATAGACTGTTCAACAACTTTTAGGCTTTTGTCATTGATAGCCCAAAATGGTTAACCCAAGTTGTTAGTAGTTTATGAGGTTGAGACTTATATATATGTCATTCATTTTGCAAGGTAGCGATGTGAGACATGATGTGACAATGACACAAGGTTTAAGAGTCAAAATTAAACTAGAAGATCATATGCTTTGATTACCATTTTATAATAAAATAAATCAAGAAGTTGAGAGATTACAAAAATATTAAAAACTTAAAACAAAATAAAGGAGAGAAAGAGAGACAATATGTATAGAGCAATATAGAGTTTCGGCAATTTAGGCCGGCTAGGTTTATATAGATGGTAAATAAAGTTTTAAATCCTAAAAGGATGTCTTATGAGACAACTTATTAACATAATATTATAGATAAGGATTTTGTGAGCAAATCATGTTAATTTTTTATAGGATTCTATCTGCACTTATCACTTATTTCTATCTCAAAAAAAAAAAAAAAGATTGTAGTTAACAATTTGATAAGATTCTATTTTCACGGTTGATTTACTCAATTAACCTTCAAAAAATTTCTAAATTGGAGTGAAATTGATTAATTACATAAAAACTCTACTATCCCTAATTGAACTTCATTTGATTATTTTTTTAATCGTTCACCAGGTTTCACAGCTCACGTCCCAATTCTTTCATGTTTTAATATATAAGATAAAGAGTAATTTTATTAGGAATAAGTTCAAAGACTTTGAAGTTGCTTTATTTCTTTATTTGACTGCAAACTAAAGTAGGAGCACACCGTCACATTTTTCACCTTTCTGTTGAAATAACACAAAAATTAGTTTAAGATGTTGATTAAGTTATTTTAAAAGAACTCCTAATTCATTAAAACTTATATAAGAGTACAGAGCAATATGTTTCATTCAAAAAAATCTAAAAATCTGACAACTAAAAATAATAGCGGTCCTTTCTCTCTCTTCTTCGGCTTTCTCTCGGCGCATGATAGTCTTGTGCTAAAAGTGCATGGCAAAAAGGAAGCCGGAGAGGAAGAAATCTGACCCGAAAGATGAGGAGATTAACAAAATTGTTGAGGAAATTGAAGAATCTGGTTCAAGAAGAGAGAAGCAAGTTCCAATTTGATGAAAAACCCTAGCCCCAATTTGATAATGGAGGTCAATCAAAATGATGGGTTTAGTGAAGGGTGTGAATCTGGTAAGTTGAAGGATGCGCTTGATAATCAGAATCGGAAAATAGATGCGCGACAGTTGACATGGTCAGATCGAGCACTCACTAGGAAGGAGCAAAATCCTTGGTGACAATGGATCTATTGAAGCTAAGGAAACCAAGGAGTAAGATCCAATACTTTGAACCGCAGGAAATTGAGGGTCAGAAGATTGCCAAAGTGCGGAAAGAGTCGGTTCAGATTGAGGAAGATTATTGGGAATCGTCGATCATCTGCTTTGTTCTTGGGGCGAATCCACCACTGTGGGTGATGGAAGCATACTGCAAAAAGATTTAGGGTTATCTTGGCTTGGATAAGGTACTTCTCCTTCCCTCTGGGACGTTTGAAGTACGATCCCATACTGTGAATTCTAGGGACGAAGTGTTAAGTACTTTATTTTATCATTTTGTCTCTAAGTCTTTGATTGTAAAACCATGGGGGTTGAAAAGGGATTGAACTGTAAGGAAGTGGAGCGTGTTCCTATATGGTTGCAGCTACATGGTTTAGAGGTTAAACACTGGAATCTTGAAACTCTGGGAAGGATCACTAGTACTGTAAGTTGTCCCATTATGGCTAATGAGTGTACTGTTGAGAAAACTAGGGTCCAATATGCCAGGTTGTGGGTGGATATGGAGATTACAGAGACTGTTCCTGATAAATTGATATTTGAAGATGAAAATGGGGTAATTAAAGTACAAAAAATCACATATGAATGGACTCTTACTAAGTGTAATACTTGTAATGGGTATTGGCATAGCACTGAGAAGTGTAGAAGAATCCTTACTAAGGTGGGTGAAAGGAAGAAAACAGTGCCACAAAACACTTTTGAGTGGGAAGTAGTCGGAAGGAAAGTGGATGAAGGAAAACAGAACCAACCTTGTCTTACCTTAACTCAGATACTAAGGAGGAGTCTGCTGGGATGACTCAATCAACTGAGGAACCCAAAAAAGACTCCAACTATGCTGTTGAGTGTGAGTTGTAGGTAGTGAATGATCAACAGGCCCCTAGACTCATACAAAGGGATAACCCTATTGTCACAGATACGGAGGTGGTAGCTGCTGGACAGTCCTTGATTGGATTGTCCAAAGAAGTTACTGTTGCTGCTGATAATGGGGAAAGGTTGAGCATAACACAAGCAGATAGGAGGAAGATTATGTCGGATCCTGATCCACATATCATCCATGCATAACATTCTTTCTTGGAATATTAGGGAATTGAATGCCCCTTTAAAACAAAGGGAGGTGAGTCGAATGGCCCGATTACATAAAGTCAACCTAGTTTGTGTTATTGATGCTAAGCTGACCACAGTAAGGATGGATGAGTATTTACTGAATAATTGGAGTAATAGGGAATGGCTGAGTAATAATACAAGTGATTTCCGGGGTAGAATTCTCTTAATATGGGATGACAGTCTAAAAGTGCAAGAATTATCTAAGTCTAGTTAGTATATTCACTGTTGTGTTACAAGTAAGCAGGATGATAGTATATTTTTCTTTATTGGAATTTATGCTAGCGATGAGGCAGGAAGGTAGATTGGATTTATGGAATGACTTAGTGGATCTATCAGTCAATATAAAGGATCCCTGGTTGTTAGTGGGTGATTTTAACAATGTTTTGAAGTCTGAAGAAAAGTTGGGAGGTAGGCCTTTATCAGTGGGTGAAGTTGAAGCATTTCTGGCCGTATAGACGAGTGTGGGGTCCTGGACTTAAAGCAGCAAGGTAAACTTTATACATGGTGTAATATGCAAAGTGCTTAAGAGAGGATCTACTCTAAACTTGACAGAGCATAGGTAAATGGTGAATGGATTGATAGCTTTCCTGATTCTTCAGTGACTGTACTTTCAGAGGGTGTCTCTGATCACTCTCCTCTGTTGGTGAAGTTGCAAGAAGAAAGGATGAGTATTAGGAAACCTTTCCGGTTCTTTAACATGTGGAGCCATTCTCCTCAATATTTGGAAGTGGTGAAGCAAAGTTGGCAGATCCGTGTTAAGGGTACATGTATGTATCAGTTATATATGAAGTTAAAAAGATTGAAGCCTAAGTTAAAGAGGCTAAACAAGGATCATTTTGCTGATATAGTAATTTAGGCTGACACGGATCAAAAGAGTCTGCAACAGTTACAGGAATTGTAGGCTAGTAATCCAAATAATGTTGTCTTACAGGATCAGGAAAGGCATGCATATTTAAAGTATATTGCTTCAAGCAAGGGGGCTTTGAGTTTTATGAAACAAAAGGCGAAGGAGGACTGGTTGATTAGTGGGGATGAAAATACTGCATTCTTTCACTCTAAACTTAGGGCTCGACATATGAAGAACAAAGTGTGGTCTCTGATTGATGATAATGGCAATCAGATTCGGGACTGGAAGGAGATAGAAAGTCATTTTATTGACTATTATAAGAAGCTGCTGGGTCAAAGTTCTCCAAGAGTAAAAGCAGAATCAGAGGTGTTTGATCAGGGTTTGAGGTTGAGTGTGGAGCACCAGTTGCAGTCGCTGAAACTAGTCACAACGAAGGAAATTAAAGAAGCAATATGGAGTATGAATGCCAATAAAAGCCCATGTCCAGATGGTTACGGTGCAGGCTTTTTCGAAATAACTTGGGGTGTGGTAGAAAAAGACGTGGTCAATGCAGTGCTTGAATTTTTCAAGTGTGATCAGGTACTAAAACCCCTCAACTCTACAGTTTTGGCTTTGATTCTGAAAGTAGATGTGCCACTAAATGCTTCTCAGTTTAGACCCATAGCATGCTGTAATATTTTTTTATAAGTCTATTTCAAAGTTATTATGTAATAGATTAAAGACTATATTGCCTAGTTTGGTTGATGAAATCTTGTGCAAAATCGCCTTATTTTGCACAACATTATGTTAACTCAGGAATTAATTAGGCATTATGGTAGAAAAGGGGTAAGTGGTAGGGTTTGTATGAAAATTGATATAACGAAAGCCTACAACTCTTTTGAGTTGGGGTTTATAGGAGAGATGTAGATGGGTATGGATTTCCTGAAGTCTTTCGAGATTGGATTATGGCCTGTATTACGTCTACTTCCTATTCATTGTCTTGTTAATGGAAGCTGCTCTGGGTTTTTTCATGGGAAGCGGGGATTATGACAGGGTGATCCCGTCTCACTGCTACTGTTTGTCCTCATCATGGAGTATCTGACTCGAAGCTTCAAGAGAATCAGCAAGCAACCATGGTTTAAATTTCACCCCTGTGTTCTTCTCTTAAAATTTCTAATATATGCTTTGCAGATGACCTAATGGTCTTCTCTAAAGCTGATATAAAAACAATTTCAGGTATAAAGGCAGTGTTGGAGGGTTTTTCAAAGATCACTGGCTTGGAAGCGAATGCACAAAAGTCTGAAATATATTTTGGAGGGTTACAAGCTCAGCAACAGCAAGAATTTTGTGAGCTAACAAGATTCAACAAAGGTACATTTCTCATGAAATACCTTGGCATTTCTATGTCACCTAGGAAATGGTCTAAAAGAGAATGTCAGGAAATCCTTAATAGAATGGTGGCTAGAATTAGGTGCTGGAGTTCCTAACACCTGTTATATGTTGGCAGGTTGCAGTTGATCGACTCAGTTTTATTATCTTTACAAGTATATTGGAGTTCAATTTTTATTCTGCCACAAAGTGTGTCAACTGTTGTTAATAGAATTTGTAGAGAGTTTTTATGGGGGACTAAAAGTAGTGGAAAAGCAGTGTACCTAGTCAAATGGGAGGATGTTTGTCAAAAAAAGTCTGAAGGAGGGCTAGTTTAGCAGTAGGAGGCTGATAGTTTGTGGATCAAATGGATCCACTCTGTCTATTTAGCAAAAACCAACTTGTGGAATGCTCAGCCAAAGCTGGATAGCAGCTGGCACTGGAAGCATATTTTAAATACAAGAGATCTTGCTAAGGATGGGTTTGAAGGTAACAGATGGAAAGCTGGTGCTAATGGAAAGTATACTGTGAGTTCTGGTTATGATTGGTTGCTGAGCAGAAATGATAAATGGCTGGGATCCTCCTGTGTATGGTCATCCTAGACCTTGCCAAAGCATTCTTTTGTTAGTTGGTTGGTTTGGAGGTGTGGAATCCTGACCAGAGAGAGGTCGAAGACCCTAGCTATACCTTTGGTAGACTGTCACTGCATTTTCTGTTTAATAGAAGAAGACTTAGTTTGTCATCTATTTTTTTTTGAGTGTTGTTATGCTTATGATCTATTGCAGCAAGTGCATAATTGGTTGGGAAATCAAAGGTTGGATAGAAGAATGGATAGATGGCAATCACAGATCATGCAAATTTGGAAAGGAGCAAGGATGAAAAGAGCTATATCATGGCCTGCTGTAAATGCAATAATATATCACATTTGAGAGGAAAGAAACAGGAGAATGTTCACAGGAATTGCAAGGCAAACCACTGATTTAATATAGATTGTGCAATATGAGCTCAGAGTTAGATTGTTGGATAAACAGAGAAGACCATGGGAATGTTGCACAATGAAAAATCCTGGAAAATTATTTGTTGGCCTAGTACAAGTTATGTACCTTGATGTAAATCCTTAGACTAGGGTACCTAGATAGCAGCTAAGTGAATGTAATGGTGACTATTGTATGCGTTTTGCTCAATCTTTTAAAGAAATTAACCTTTCACCAAAACAAAAAAAATCTAAAAAATAACAGGTAATATAGGAACGTTACTTAAGATATAGATTAAGTTAAATAGATTTATTTTTTAAAAAAATTGTAAAAAGATTAAATTAAAAAATTACATAAAATACTTACAGCATCTAATTGATATATTTGCCAATGAATTTTATCGGTTCACAATATTGTGCCAAACATGCAGAAAACATTATGTATTAACATATATGACTAGCACTTCTTATTTTTGTTTTGCTAAAACTCATAAATATTACTCCCTACATCGCAAAATTATTATCTAGTTTGGATTTTTATTTTTAGTTCAAATTGTACTTAAACTGAAAATGCAAACTGGACAATATTTCGGGACTGAAGAAGTATCATTTTCTTCAAAAAATTATTATTTTACCCTACTTATAGTGTCTGACTCCACAGTCATACGTGATACAGTAGTTGCACACTGTATTTTCTCCTGCCTGTGGGTTGGTCTGGATTTATATGTTGAGAACAAGTTTGCGTTGTCACACAAGGTGCGGCTCTGGCCCAATTATATAGTCACACCTTAGAGCATCTGCATCGTGGTTGAATTGGGGTTGAATATTAGAGCAATTAAACAGATGGACTGTTGGAGTGGTTAAAAAATTGTCGGAGTAGAGGCAGATTTGTGTGGTATATTTGCTTCCCTTTTCCATTAAAATAGGACCCACATCATGTGGCATTCACTATCTATCTCTCTCTCTCTCTTCTTTCTTTTTTTTGTTAGTTGGGATCCTTTTTCATTTTATTTCTTTTACTTCTTGAGTTGTTTTCATTTCTATTATAGAAAAATTTAGAAAAATAAAATCATCTTATCCGAAATCGGTAAATCAAAAAGGAAAACAAAATCTACAAATCTATCCAAAATCTGACAAATTTATTCATTCGAAGAGATAAGGAAATTATTTTAGGTACATAAGAATTTCTCTAAATACAACCAATCCAATTTTTTGTATATCACATCATCTTCACTTTCTCATACTCTTCTTCATCTACCTTGAATAAAAGAAAAAAACAAGAAATTTTCTCAAAGTGATGAAAATTCATCTCCTATCCATAATAATGCTTACCAAAATTTTCACTCATTTCTACCTTAAAACTTTCAGCCCACTATGCAAAAGTTAGGGTATCCACAAAATTTTGCTATCCCAAATCTTCTTCCAGTTTATGGAAATTCATCAAATTTCTCAAACTCATTCGTGATGTATCAACCACCCGGTTACTTTTCACAAATGTTTGGAAGCAATTTTCCACCAGGTTTTGGTAATACAAATATGTCTTTGGGTAGTCCATCAACACTAATTTTAACAAGCAGGGACATTTATGGGGGATCTGACTCTCAAAGTTCAACGCCTGCGGGATCAATCTCTTAAAGTCCTTTTCCACTATATTCAACCCAATTTTGAATAGAAAACATTTCTCTATCAAAAGAACCGCAGAAAGAAAATACCTCAAATTATCAAAATTAGAGTGTGGATGAAGTCTGACTTCTCGCTCGTGTGTGAGTCACAACTTTTAATTGCAGTGTTACGTGAAACTATTAAGACATGAAAGAGTTTTGGAAGCGAATTACTACATACTACAACAACAACAAGGGATCTTTCCCAGAAAGAGAACAAGATCAGTGCAAATCTCATTGGCATTAGTTTTTAAAATATGTTAATGAATTTAATCAACACTCCAATAGATTGTGGAATGAGCATCGTAGTGGTTGGAATAATGAGCAAATAAAGAAAGTTGCTCGTGAATTATGTTACCAACAAATTAAAGGTAAACATTTCCAACATGAATATGTATGAAAATTATTGAAAGATGATCTAAAATTGAATGTTATTGCTTCTGTTGAGGACTCAAGCAAGAGATAAAAAAATTAATGAATTTGAGGGATACACATCATCATCAAATACTGGCAAAAGTATTGAAATCAATATCATTGAAGAGGAGGTTCGTCCTATAGGACAAAAAACAGCCAAGAAAGGAATACCAAAGATTAAGACCAAGGGAAAATCACCTGACGATGATGACGGTGATGGAGTTATGGAAATTCAAATTAATATGGTAGGCATTGCAGAAAAAAATGGTTGTCCAAGAAGAGTATAAAAAATGGTACATGAGATATGCAATTGCCAAAAAGACACTCCATAAACATTTTTGTGCAAAAACTTTTGTGTAATTATGACTAATCTTGGTGTATTTCTTTTCTTCTTTTAAACGTTTTATTGTATTGTTGTATTTTATTAGAAAAATAGTATTATTGTGTTTATCTTGTGAACTTCTTTGGGTTTTATTTCATTTTAATTTTTTAGAATGAATATAAAAAATTTGAGAATGATATAAAACTAAATGTTTCAAAAGTAATAATTTTAAAAGTAGAAACAAATAATATAAAATAAAAAACTAGCAAAAATAATTGAAAAAAGAGTTGGGAAAGTAGTCGTTGTGAAAATCTAGTCATTGAAAAAAGAGTTATTGGTAAAGTAACCGTTACAAAAAATTGTTGTTGGAAAATTAGCCATTATACTCCATAGAAAGAAACTCTTTATATATTACATGATGCTAATGATATTTCATATAACTTCTTACATTCCACACAAGTTATATTTCCTTCAAAAAATGCAAGAGATATTAAGAAGAGCTGGCATATCATACGTGAACTGGCTCGATCTTGGCATGAATCCAAACTGAAAAATATTACGTATGTATACTCGCATTATATTACATAATATGATAGTAGAAGATGAGGGAGAGGAACAACTAATTGGTTTGATGATGAGGATACCACTCACTTTGCACATTCTAAAGACCCCATTCCAAATATTCAACAACACATTCAAAGAACTGCTAAAATACGTGATCGTGAAATACACCAGCAACCACATTCAGATTTAGTTGAGCACAGTGGGGGATGTTTTCGCCACGTTGTTGATTTGAATTAATTTTATTAATTTGTCCCTTTTTTCCTTTTCAGATAATTTCATTTTCTCCGATGTTCTCTCGTAGAGAAATTCTTTTTGGGTGTTTTTTTTTTGGAAATTTATGTACGGAGTCATGGTATTGTTTAATAATAATTAATGTTTTTGTTATTGTTTGCTTGTGGTTTTTTTTTACAATTTTTGTTTTTTTTGAAAACTAAGAAATTATTTATTTTGCATAAATATATTTAAATTTAATAATTTTGGATAAATTATATAGTAATAGTGAATTTTTTGTTTTTCACCAAAAAATAGTGAAGTATTTGTGAGTCCAAGATTATATAGGTGATGAGTATAAAATTGTTGGAGTAGAAGGTGTAAAAAAGAAGAGAGTGAGTGGAATACTGACGTGGCAATAGAGTGGAGTGTAATGTAATTGGTATTGATGGAAATGCTCTTATATTTTGATATGAAAATTTTGAATTGTGGAATAAATCTTATGTTTATTGTCATGTTTGTCAAAAGATGAAAAAAAGAGAACAAGAAAAAGTATAGAAAAGACAACAATTCTAATGTAGTGGCATTTTTGGGTGATGATGTTTATATTTTGGAACATAGAATACATCAATTACTAATAGGGAAACGATAATTATTAGAGAATATGTTGGAATTGAACCATTGAGAATATAGAAATTTGATTTCACCAAACACATAAATAATTTTATAGAAGAAGGAAAAGAAACCTAAAGAACTTATTATTCAATTTAGTTTTACAAAAGAAGAAAAAGAAACTGTGAGAAACTATGATTTGGTTTATGTGATTAAAAGAAAACTTATTTTGATTAGATGACTAATTGAAATGGAATTAGGTTACTTAGGTAACAAAGTAACTAACTATTTTTCTTATTTTGATGATGTGTAAATAAATTTAAAATATTAGTGACGTGGTTAATCATGTGGCATCGTCATGTGTCAATTAAAGAGGATTTCTTGAAGGAGTTGTCTTATATATATATATATATGTTAGATATACTTTGAAAAAATCGGAAAAAAAGTTAGGATAGAAAAAATATTAGCATATGTTTTTATGTTTATTGATGTTTGCATTGACGGAGTGTGGCTCATGGATCCAGATCTATTGCTCAAGTTTCTGCCAAAGATCAAGGTTCAGTTTCGAGGAGATTCAATCTTAGATCTATTAGTTAGATCTATTATTTTGTTGGGCTTAGAACAGGATTTTAGCGACGTATTGTTGACCAAAGTTTTAATTTGACACGTGATATGGCCACAAGATATTGCAATGGTAGATCTGAATAGGTTTATCCTCGCGTGGATACAATTATATGCTTTACTAGTTAGATCTTATGATGCGATATCACCAACTGTATTTTACTCCTCTGTTGCATAAAATGACTTTTACATTAAATATAAATTTTCCACGAAAAATTAAAAAATCCAAAAAGAGAAAAATTAAAAATCTAAAGAAATAATAAAAAAGAGAGAAATAAGGATGTTTTAGTTGTTGATTTTTTTTAAACGTCTTAGTTATTGATTGTTTGTGTGTTGAGTGAGTATTTCAAGTATCATATAATAATCCTTACGTTCTATAAGTATGTATGTACATAATAAACTACAAAATTGATATAAAAAATTAAATAAAACTTGTTTTTCTTAAAAAAAAAGAAGGAAAAATTGTTAGTTAGAAAACAATAAAGTAATTCTCTATAAGTTAAAATAAAAGCCTCTTGGCCAAAGAGTTTCTTGAGATATGATCGGTCGTAGCGCAGTTACATGACATCATCCTTGTATCATGATTACACCATAATTTTAATTGTGGATAAAATTATTATTATCTATTTTTTTTAATTTGATTTCTCCCAAAACCCCCATGTTCAAATGACGTCATTTTGAAAACTTCTTTTTAATTTTTTTTTTCAAAAAAAAAAACCCGGCTAAAATAAAGAATAAGATGTCCAACCTAACTCCCCACCCCAAAATCCTCCGCCCCATGTCTCCATATGACCGCTTCCGCCGTCGATTCATTCACATGCCAATGCCCAATCTGCCT